TATAATGGCATTTAAATGAGGATTGGCTACTTAGATTATATGGTATTGGTGTTATCCACAAGTGACTTGACTATTTACTGCCAAACAGCCAGAAACAACCAGAAGTCATACAGAATGAAGTACAGAGAAAGAAAAGAATGTAAAACATACGAGTAAAGAAACAGATACCATCTATTTGGAGTCTCAGAGGAATGGAAAAAGAAGCAGGACAAATATTTGAAGACATAGTAGCTGAGAATTTTCCAAAATTGAAGAGAATTCTGTTTTGTCAGTGTGGTTACATTGAATAAGATATATTTTGTCAATAGTTGCTATTGAGGATTTTTGTTTGTTTGTTTTGGAGATAGGGACTTGCTATGTAGCCCAGGCTGGCTTTGACTGGGTGTTACTCTCTCCTGGTGAGGCTTCTGCCTTAGTCTCCCAAGTGCTGCAAGGTGTGCACTACCATGCCTGTTTTAGGATTCTTTAAAATTGCTTTTTCCCTCTACTACACAGGTTTGTCAAATCTGCAATATCCTTAGTAATTATTTACCTTTGAAAAGTCTCCTTTTCACTATTTTCTTCTCCCATCATGTCATTAGATAAATGTCAGATTCTTCTACTCTAAAACCTTGAATTTGGACTAATTATCTTTATTTAGGTGGGCTGTCTTTTCATTTCATTAAATTAAAAAAATTTAAACTGATATATAATTTTCACATTTATAGAGTACAGTATGTTAACATTTAAAAATAATGTATACAGTTGTGGTCAATTTGGAGTAATTGTCACACTTGTCCCTCAAACATTTCTTTGTGGTAAAGTATTCAAAATTCCTTCTTTTCTCTTGAAGCATACAATACACTTGATTAATTTCTTTAAACCTATCCTCCAGGTATAAGGATTCTCCATTTGTGTCCAGTCTGCTAGTTCATTTATTAACTTCATTGATGATACTTTTTATTTCAAGGAGTTCTGTTTTAGATGGACTTGCCTTTTATTGTATCTTGGTTTTTTCCTTAGTATTTTCTTTAATGCTTTATTTTAATACTGTAAGTCATTTAAATATTCATTTTGGATATCTTTAGTTTTTGAGTATTTAATCTGACTTTAGATTGGCTTTTCTACTCAAGGTTGGTTGATGTTTATTTGTTTGTTATGTTTTGTTTTGTTTGAGATAGAGTCTCACTTGTGTAATTTAGGCTGTCCTTGAATGTACTGTTTATTAGCCCATGCTGGCCTCACATTTAAAACAATCTTTCTGCCTCAGCCTCTAGAATATTGGAATCACAGGCATATGCTACCACTCCTGGCTTCAAGGTTGATTGATTCTTTTTATTGGTACGTGTTGTTGCAGCACGTAATGATTACATTCTTTGGGGAGTTGGTACAGATAGGTTGACTGATTCTTGTGTTCTAAAATTTTAGATTATGAGTTTATGTTTGGGAGTCTTTGTGGGAAATTTTTGCTAGCAAAATCAAATACTGTATGGTATATCTCTGGAAGAACAACAAACTTCTCATAGACAATGCCCTGTTAAGCGTGAATGCACAAAAAATGTATAGCCGTGGATACTCAGAAGAGAATTTTTTTGGTCTCTTCTTTGTGTGTCTGTGTGTGTGTGTGTGTGTGTGTGTGTGTGTGTGTGTGTGTGTGTTTCCTTTTTATCAGTACCAGGGATCAAACTCACGACTGCCTGCTTGCAAGGCAGGCGCTTATGCCGCTGAGCTAAATCCCCAGCCCCTTTTTGGTCTCTTCTTTCCCCTCCTTTGATCCTTTCATCTTATCTTGCCAAGTATTGTAGTCAGGGGTTGTGAAGAGAACAATTAGAATCAAGACACAGAATTTATATTATTATTTTATGATGGTCACCCAGAGTAAAACACAAGAAAGTGCAGGAAATCTGTCCACAATACTAAAGACCTACAATATTCAGCCCAAGGGCCTGGATCCCACAGCAATGCCTGCATGAGTCCAGATGAAGACCCAGAGCTCATGACAGTGCCTCACACAAGTCTAACTGGAGGTCTAGAGCCCACGAGAAGGATTCCACCAGACTCTTGTGGATCTGTGCTGGGAAGGCCCAGAGGTCAGCCATAGAAGCTAGAAAGTCTGCAAGGTAAAGGAGCTGTGCTACTAGGTTGAGGGTTCTACACTGAAGCTAAGAAGTCATGCTCATAATAAAGACCAGGGCTGTCCTGAAAAGCACAACAGCCATCCTCAATGACACGGAAGTCCCAAGCTCCTCCGATGATAAGAACAGCTGAGTACATGCCAGAAAGCCAGCATGACAAGTTTCTCCTGGGGATTAAATAGCACACGTCTTACCCTTCAGAGCCAGAAAGTGGTGCTCGATGTAAAGACCAGAGCTCCCCCAAAGTAAACCACCGCCACTCTTACCAAGGTCCCAAGCTCCTCCAGTGACAGTGATCGAACTCACACTGGGGAAGCTAGTCATGATGAGCTCCTCCAGGAGAACCAATGGCTCAAACAGCAACACTTAGAGAAACCCACAACACTTCACTCTTCTCCATGTCTCTATTTATGCTGGCAACTTTCCTTAGGTGGAACATCTATGCTCAGCACCATGCTGATTTAATTCAGTTGGTGTTAATTAACCATCAGTTTTTAATCCATAATACCAAGACAGAAAAATGTCCTCATCTCTTGCTTTCTTTGTTGCCCCTGTACCATGAAACAAGTTTCAACCTCATTGTCACCATCCTTGGACTTTTATTCTTCTTCTTCTTCTTCTGATCAGGTTTATTGAGGTAACAAAATTCAACATTTTTCCCCCAGTGTTAGGAATCATGTCCAGAATCTAGTGCATGGAAGATAAATATGCTACCATAGAGCTATATACTGAGATAATAATTTCAGCACATTTTTTTTAAATGCTGGAGATTGAACTCAAGGACTTTTTATGTACTAAGTATGTTCTCTGCCATTCAGTTACATCTTTAGCCAGCACTTTTTTCAAATCTTATTTTGTTTTAAAGAGAAAAATAAAATTTCAAAACAGTAGTTATGGGGTAACCATGGTGTATATACATTGCATTTTATTTATATTTATTTATTTATTTATTTATTTTATACAATGCAGTGTGAATGTAATACATTGTTTCAGCTTCTCACACTAGTGAGAGAGTACAGTGTTTACACGCATGTCTGATTTATTTCACTTATGAGTATAGTCTCAAGTTGCAACCATTTACCTATAGAAGTCTCAATAACCAGCAATTTTAAATGTAGGATTTTAGTGAGTAATGCCACAGTCATGGCAATAGAGCGTTTTCACCATTCTTGAAAGTTCTGCTATGCTCTTTTGCTGTCAGCCTGCTTTCCCCAACTTTTGGTGGTTACTGGCCCATTCTTTTCCCTTCCCCTTTCTGTGTGTCGTGTTGTGTTTTGTTTTAGGACTACTGGGTATTGAACCCTTATAAACATCGGCTAAGTATGAGTAAAAACAGCTTACTTCTTTCCAATCTTAATGGCTTTTTCTTTCTTTTTCTTGCCTGTATGCATTGTATAAGGTTGAGTACAAATGGTGACCACATCCTTGCTTTTAGGGAAATTTCCCATATGGGACTATCTTAAGTGTTCAAATATGTTGGAAGTACAGTGTTCAGGAATTAACTGCTGTCTCTGTGAAGCTAGGGTTTGTGATTTAAAGAACATGGTAGTAAAGAATGAACTGGTCATCTCTCACTTCATTTATTACTGAAATATAGTTAGACTAGAGGTGTGAAATGGACATTCTGACTTAAAAGACGAGTTGTACTGGGTGGAAATTGTCATAGGGTTGAGGGTGTGAAGATCAGTGATAACGGTCTTGCTTGAAGCCCTGGGTTCAGCTCCTGGTATTGCAAAAAAAATCAGCCATGAGCAATGGTGCTCATTTATAATCCCAGTCACTTGGGAGACTTAAGTCAAAAGTCTCAAATTTCAAGCCACCTCTGCGCACCCCCCCTCCCCGCCCCCACACACACAAGCAAATCCTGTTTCAAATGTAAAAAGGGCTGGGGATATAGTTAAGTACCACATTAATTAGTTAAAGACCTTAGAAAACAAGTCATCATCAATTAACACAATGTTTTCCTGTCACTCATAATCTAATAAATTTTAATTTTATAACAACGCTATTATACTGTGGTTTCTCTTCAGAGTGTATAAATCTTTTGCATTTTAACAATGCTATTTATTACTAAGGGTGATTCCAAGAAAAGAAATTTTTCATTCATATCTATGTCTTTGACATCATAATTAAATTTGTTTTAACTATATATATCAATTAGTTATTTAGAAGTCCTGTACTTTAAGTCAGCCATATATAATAGAGAAAGTTAAGTTTTGAAGAATACATTTTGGGAAAGGGGGAAATTTTATAAAGACTTATCTTAGCACATTTAATTATTTACAGTAAGTAACATGAGGAATTATATTAACCATTAAGGTATAAATGTTTGTCTGAAATACAAAGCTATGTTTTTCAAAAAGGTTAATTTCAGTTATTGTTTCTTATGTGAGAAGAAACTTTTCCATCAAGCTACAAAATAAATGATGAGCAGTACCTTGAATTGGGCCTTTTCTAATTAGTTATAGAAGGTAGTATCTACTGGACAAGGCACATTGAAAAATAGGGTGAGGTATGGAAGGTTCCTGAGCACAGGAGCTTCTGTCCCAGTGGAGTAGGGTACACCATGTTAATAGGACCACCAGCCCAGAGTAGAGAGGCTCAGCAGCAGCCTGGAAGCTCATCACATCTCCTGTTCAAGAGTTTTTGTAAAGCTTAACTTCTGGGGCCAGGGATTTAGCTCAGCAAGCTCAAATGCTTGCCTGGTAAGCAAAGTTGTAAGTTCAATCCCTGGTACAAAAAAAAAAAAAAAAAAATGAAAAAACTTCTAACACTGAAGCTCTGTAGGTGGTGCTGAAAGTTCCTCAAAAACATGTGTTACTACACAAAATGGTTTTGTGAGAATATTTTCTGATTAATATACTGTTTTAACTTTATGTCCTTTAGATATTTGGATTTGAGCTGCATTTTTGAATTCATCTGTACCTAAAATGCCAGTGGCCATTGGAGGACCAGTTGGATATACCCCCCCAGATGGAGGCTGGGGGTGGGCAGTGGTGATTGGAGCTTTCATTTCTATTGGCTTCTCTTACGCATTTCCCAAATCCATTACTGTCTTCTTTAAAGAAATTGAAAGTATATTCAATGCTACCACCAGTGAAGTGTCATGGATATCCTCTATCATGTTGGCTGTCATGTATGGTGGAGGTAAGTAGCCATTAAGTTGTGCTCTTCTAATTTTCATTAAGCAGCCAGAGTCTCTGTATTAGGTAATGTCGTTGTTTTAATGTCTTATTCAGTTAGATATTTCAGAAAGTTACTTCTTTTCTTTTTTCTTTTTTTTTTTTTTTCTCCTGTACCAGGGATCAAACTCTCGACCTTGTATTGTTATTTTTTGAAGCACATATTGTTTTTAGGTTCACATTTTCCATTCCTGATAATAAGGGTGTTCTTGTTCCACTATGATTTTCTGAAACAAAAATGAGAAATTCTAAAACCTCTGATTTTCTCCAATTTGATTATCATTGAGCTTTAAAAGCTCTCATAAAAATAATGTGTCCATAACTGGTTTTGTTTGTTTTTTACTTGACTCTTGAAATACAAGCACTAACATAGATTTATAAATTAATGTTTGAAGAATTAAAATAAATCAGACTCAGCTGAATAGCATAGTTCAAGCCTCAAGTAAAATCTTTTAATGGTGTTAGAATTGAATAAAACTTAAAGAATTGAATAAAGCTTTCCCTTGTCCTTTGTAATTTTGTGTGTCCTAAAAGAATTTCAGCTGAGTTTTACTGGATGTGGTCGTGCATGCCTGTAATCCTAGCACTGGGGAGGCTAAGCCAGGAAGATCACTATGAGCCCAAGGCCAGCCTGGCCAGCCATCTCACATAGTGAGAGATGACCTGTCTTTAAAAAAACAACAACAACACCTTAAGTTTTATCACTTCTTCCCCTTCTGTTTTCTTTGGCATGCTTCCTATAAAGGCTGTGTAGAGAGTAAATTACTTATTTAACATGCTGTTTGCTTCCCCTTGAAACATCAGACCACAATTAAACATGTAAACATTAAACCTACCACAATACTTAAGTAATTGTGTAGTTGGCAGCAATACCTAAGCCAACTACTTTTGTTTACTAGGATTGACAGTTTCTTGTGTAGCCTTTTTCTTTAAACAAGCTTTTGCTTCTGTTAACTCTTATTTTTGGTAGAAATTTAGTCCCTCAGATTATACACTCATAATACCTCCCTAATATAAAACAGTTGTACATTTAAACTGCAAACAACTTAGCTTTCAACAGTTGGTAGCAGATTGAGCCAGTCCCATGAATATACATTGCATGTGACAGTATTGATTCTGATCTTTTCTTTTGAGAGATTTATAATTCTTTTGAAATAATAAAAGCTCTTGAAACAATATTTGAAGTCATGATTTATTTAAATATAATTAAATTGCACAGAATCTAAATTCTAACTTGTAGTACTTAACTTTTTAGAAATAAATTCAGAGAAATGAAAAAAAACTGTAGGACATTATCTAGTTTCTGAGAACCACCGCTTTTACAGGCTTTGAATTCCAGTGTGCCAGAATATCTAATCAGATTTTTGATGAATTGAATAAAACTTTTGATGATGATGACTTAAAGAAATGGGTATAAATAGGTGCTCCAGGTGCCTCAGTCAGCTTAGGCTGAATACAAACCAGAGGTTTACTTGTTGCAATTCTGGGCTGCTAAGGGTTAGGGAGCCACTTGGCTTGGTGTTTTGCATCAGAAGTAAGTAATGTCAGTTGTGCTCATTGCACATGACACTTTCCTTTAGGGAAACAGTTCCTTCTTTGTCCTCATCCATTTAGTTAAATAATTGGCACATTTCTCTGAGTTTGTGTTATAATAGTCCTATAAACTGCTCTTTTCTATTTTTAATGATAGCTAATTAAGACCATCCTTTATGAAATACTAAAAGACAGATTGCCTGTCATGAGCTTTGTGACAGAGTTTTTATGAAATGAGTTTCTTTGTTTCTGGCTTTTTAAGTAATATGTCCCCTAAAAATTTAAATCACTTTACAACTGTCATAACCCTTTAACTTAATGCACTTGTGGTGTGCTCTGAATAGCAGTGTGTTTTGATTTATGAGTAATTTTGGTTTTCTTTTTAGTGCTTTGGATTAGAGACACATACTGATGATTGTTTGAGTATAAATACATTTTGGGAGAGAAGATCTTAGTTACCTACTTTGAGTTTGTTTTTCCTTTTTTATAAAAATCAAAAGTATAAATCTACATATTTTTAGTCCCATAATGTTTATTTTAATACTTCTGGCTTGGAATTTCATTAGAAATACTGCAAAATTTATGAAACTCCTTCATGCACATCTTTAGCTAAGCCTTTTTGGCAGCTAGTTTCTGACTCAACTTTTCAAAAAGACTTGGTCTTTTAGAAGAACATGGTATAATCAGAAGCTTTGACTTCTTACATACTTATCAAATATCTGTGTAGAACTACTAAGCAAGATTGTCCTTGAACTCTCTATATAGTCTAGGCTGATCTCAAATTTACAGTTTAGAGTGATTCTCCTGCCTCAGCCTCCCAAACACTAGGACTACAAGTGTGTGCCACCATGCTCAGCTTGGACCTCAGTTTATGTTATTATCTGACTTAATTTCTTGCAAGCTTTTTTTCACAGTACTACTACCATGAAACATGATAATATGAGAATGGAGCCAAGTAATTCTGAAAGAGATAATCAGGTTACTGGGAAGGGTTTTCTTTTATTTGTTTGATTTTTTTGCTTTTTAATTGAAAGTAATTTCATAAGCTTTTTGGAAAAGCTCTTTATGCTTGGAAAAAATGATTTTTGTCTTTTTAAAAATAAAAATGTGACACAAACCACATTTATAAGTAAATAATGCTTTAAGTACCAGCACTCAGGAGGCAGAGGCAGGAAGGTTGCTGTGAGTTTGAGGCTAGCCTGGGCTACACAGCAAGTTCAAGACTAACCTGGACTATACAGCAAGACCTTGTCTCAAAGGGGAAAAAAACAATGTTTTAAAGTCAGAAATCTATTCAGGTGTGTCCACACAACTCATCATATCAGTGTGGCTGTCCAAAAATTAAAAAAAAAAACAGACTAATATGTTGGACATATCTTGGATATTTTGGACACCATGTGAGTGTTTATTAAGGTGTTTCCAGCTGTCCTGTGTTAAGAGAAAGATTAACAAGGGACTGGAGCCTTACATTTTAGTAAAATATCTAATATTTCTAGATATAGGCCATGCACAATTAATGATGTTGGAACATCTTTATTTTTCAGTACACCAAAAATTATAGAAAACTATTCTTTTCCATTGCCTTTTATCTTAGAGGACTTGTCATATATTCTCATTCATGCCTTACATAGATGTCAGGGAATAAGTTTCCTTTGTACTTCTAAGTTTTTTATCTTCTCTTAGGTCCTGTCAGCAGTATTCTGGTGAATAAATATGGGAGTCGCCCAGTCATGATTGCTGGTGGCTGCTTATCAGGCTGTGGTTTGATTGCAGCTTCTTTCTGTAAGACTGTACAGCAACTTTACTTGTGTATTGGAGTCATCGGAGGTAAGTTGCTGCTAATTTTTCCCCTACAAGTACGGCTTTATTGCTTTGTTTTTCATCTGCATGTAGATTTGAAATCTGTTAAAAATAAATTCATTCTTTATTGAAATGATATATTATTTGGAAAATCTGAGGACAAAACAGTACTAGAAAGCGTACATTTAAAGAAATTTCTGCTTTATAATAGATATTGAATGAATCAAAAAAAAAAATGGTCTTTTGTCCTAAAAATCAACTGTGGTAGATAAAGTGTATTTGGCAACTTGTAGAAGGGTGTAAGGTAATGAACTCTTGATGAGTATGGTGAATATAGATTACTCATCACAACTGACATTCTCACATGTGTCCTTCCATTCTTGTCCTTCCATTCTTTTCTCTATGCATAAAACTAATCATTTTTGGGAACAAAAACAGAATCAGGTTTTATATATTTTGTCACTGTTTTGTTTTTTTAAAAATTCAATAGTGTATCATGAATATCTTTCAATGTCATTAAATCTTCTAATAAATGACTGATTTGTTTTATTTGCAGTGGGGTTTTTTAAAAATACATTTTATTCAAACATAAAAAGAAGGGGAAAAAACTACAATAAAATGGCAAAGCATGTCAATCAGGGTAACAGTGGTGCATACATTGAGGATTGCTATCCTCAAATTACAACATTTATTTAATCTGTTGTTTCGTTGAATAGATATGTCACCTTTCTATATGTTGCAAATTTTTTCTTCACAGCAGTATTGTGTGCCTGTTTTAAATATTAGGAAACTCACAAAAAGGGTTCACTACCTGAAATTATATAGCCAGGAAGTAGTGATGCTGAGATTTGAGTTCATAAGTCTGTTTTAGAACACTCACTTTAAATCACTATACGATACCATGTAATGAAGATTTTTATGTCCTTTCTATGACTTACACCTCTTATTTTATTTTACTTGTCTAATTAATTAATCTCATGTACCTGGTGTTTATTACAGTAATTAGTTTTTTCCCCCTCTTCCTAGGTCTTGGACTTGCCTTCAACTTGAATCCAGCTCTGACCATGATTGGCAAATATTTCTACAAGAAGCGACCATTGGCAAATGGACTGGCCATGGCAGGCAGCCCTGTGTTCCTCTCTACCCTGGCCCCCATCAATCAGGCTTTTTTTGGTATCTTTGGCTGGAGAGGAAGTTTCCTAATTCTTGGTGGCCTCCTCCTAAACTGCTGTGTGGCTGGATCCCTGATGCGACCAATAGGGCCCAAGCCAGCCACGACAGGAAAAGTTCATGCTAAAGAATCCCTTCAAGAGGCTGGAAAATCTGATGCAAGAAAAGATGCAGGTGATGCAAATACAGATCTCATTGGAGGAAATCCCAAAGAGGAAAAGCTGTCGTTCTTCCAAAAAGTTAATAAATTCCTGGACTTGTCCCTGTTTGCCCACAGAGGTTTTTTGTTATACCTCTCTGGAAATGTTGTCATGTTTTTTGGACTCTTCACACCTTTGGTTTTCCTTAGTAATTATGGCAAGAGCAAAAAGTATTCTAGTGAGAAGTCTGCCTTCCTTCTGTCCATTCTAGCTTTTGTCGACATGGTAGCCAGACCTTCTATGGGACTTGTGGCCAACACAAGGTGGATACGACCTCGAGTTCAGTATTTCTTTGCTGCTTCTATTGTTGCAAATGGAGTGTGTCATTTGCTAGCACCTTTTTCCGTCAGCACTTATGCTGGGTTCTGTATCTACGCTGGATTCTTCGGGTTTGCTTTTGGATGGCTCAGCTCCGTGTTATTCGAAACCCTGATGGATCTTGTTGGACCCCAGAGATTCTCCAGTGCTGTAGGATTGGTCACCATTGTGGAATGCTGTCCTGTCCTCCTGGGGCCACCAATGTTAGGTATGTCTTTGTGCTCTGTGTCTCTGTTATAAAATAGTCATACTATTCAAGATTGGAAGCTGGGAGTGATGTTGCATGCCTGTAATCCCAGCATTCAGGAGGTTGAGACAGGAGGATCATTGCAAATTCAAGACCAGCCTGGGCTACAAAGTGAGCTCAAGGCCAGCCTGAACTGCATAACTAGACCCTATTTCAAAAAGACTGGGGAAAAAAATTGGAACAGGATAAAAAGCAGGGAATACTGAGCTGTTAGGTGGCAAGGAGCAAGCCTTATTCTGTATCCTGGTACTCATGTAAAGCTCTGCATAGCAAAATTGCTGAAGTCCTCCAGAATGTAATTAAATTGAATAATCAAGCTGTGTGCATGGAGAGATCAGATCTCATTATAAAACTAATTTTCTAGTCATAAATTAGCATATTGTAAAAAAGCAACTTCATCTTTTAACACTGGAGATTTCATTTTAGTAGTTGATTTACTTTGATAGTAATAGTATAATAGTAGCTATCATGTAAAGTCACAGTATGCTAGTGACTGTCCTAACAATTGCCTGTATACTGATGTGTCTCACAAGGCTGTGAGGTAGAACTATTTTAGCCGCCTCCCTTCCATAAGTGAAGAAATAGAGGCTTTTAAAGGTAAAATATACTAGGAATTGTGGCATACACCTGTAATTCGAGCATTTAGGAGGCCAAGGCAGAAACATCACCACAAGTTTGAGGTGCATGTGTAGTGAGACCCTGTCTCAAAAAAAAAATAAATAAATTTTACCCAACACTTGAGAGGCTGAAGCAGGAGGATTGCTGTGAGTTCGAGACTAGCCTGGGCTACAAAGTGAGTTGAAGTCCAGGCTAAACTGCATAGTGAGCCCCTGTCTCAAAAATAAATAAGTAGGTAAGTAAATTTTAAAAACAAATAACTTCACTAGGATCACACAGCTTGTAAGTCAGTATGTAAATGGAAAACTAGTCCCTAAATTTACTAAATACTTCATTTTTTGAATTAAAATCTCCACAGATAACACAGTAAATAATTTGAACTTCTTTGAGATGTGATTAATATTTTTGGAATTTCATTTTGGCAAGTAATAGAATAAAGGTCTCCAACAGTCTTTTGATAGTGCTTCCTCCCAAACCCTGTGTAGTAAGTTGTCAAATCCTATCATATTTCTTCTCCTAAATCTCTTTGTGATCTGCCCATTTTTCTCCGTAACTGCTGTTGCCTTCATCCAAACTTCTGTCTTCTATTTGGGATGCTCTTAATGGTAGTCTCCTAACTGTTCTTCAGTCCTTATTTCTCTCCAGTTGCTTCCTATTGCCCTTAGAGTGAAAAGCATATTCTCTGATGTGACTCACAAGGCTTACAATGGCTTCAGCTGTCTTCAGCCTGGTTTCCTCCCGCTAACCTTTTGCTATCTTCTGCAGCAACCCGGCCCTTCTCTCGCACACTATACTTCCTTCTACCCGGTGCCTTTGCACTTGCTGTTCTGTACCACCACCACCACTCCTGCCCTTTTTCCTAAATGATCCTGTTCTTCAGCAAGGCCCAGCCCAGTTGACTCTTCAAGGGAAGACTGTCCCAACTTCCTATTTTCTACTTTTGGAACACCCGTGATAGCACTTGTTACAGTTTATGCACTGAGGTTCCTCTGTTCATGAACTTAATTCTTTCCACAATTCTGATTGCAAACTGGATTGGACAAAAACCAAATTAAATTTTCCTGTAAGGTCAACATTGAATCTAACCATTGAATTTTTTTTAATTTTAAAAGCAAAACAAGGATAAAAACAATACAGAATTTCAAAACAAAATAATAGGATATTAAGACCAGTTAATATATTGCATATTGTCTTCAAAGTAGGTGTTCAGCTTATAAGATTTGGGCATGAAAAAAATGATCAAACAATGAAAACTATTCTTTTTTGATGGACTAACTGATTAGTAGTATAGTTATCTATCTTGTGTATATATACATACATGTACACATATATGTATACATATAAACATAAAACATACAATCTTTTTCCCTTATTTCTTTTCTTCTTTCTCCTCTACCAGTTAACCATTGAATTCTGACATCTGTATAAAAAAACAAAAACTAGAATCTGCCTGTTTTAAGGACTAGGAACTTATAATAGTGGCAGAATATTGCTGTGAAGTGTATAGCATAGATCAGGTGTCCACAGCACACTCTTTAGGAAATGCTGACAGGAAAACAGCATTGCCCTTGGTAACTGGAATAGCTCTATGGCCTTGGACAAGACTTTTGAGCAATAATTTTTTCCATTATGTGTTAGGAAGATTGACAGTAAGTGATCTTTGGATCTTTCCTAATTCAAATTTGCCAAGAGTTTGTTACTTTCGGGTTGTTAAAAGTATCAGACTATCCAATTCCATCCAAAAATCAGAAAATACAGAAGATAAGATACTTTAGTAGTTTCTTTTTTTAAATATTGATTTGTCATAGATTAGATTAAGATCTTTATGAAATTTTTTTAAGCTTAAAGAAAAGATAATCCTTGTTAACTTTTAATTACATAGTGTTTGTTTTAAACATCTTTTAGGTCGTCTCAATGACATATATGGAGATTACAAGTACACATACTGGGCATGTGGTGCAATCCTAATAATTGCAGGTATCTATCTCTTCATTGGTATGGGTATCAATTACCAACTTCTGGCAAAAGAAGAAAAAGCAGAGGAAAAGCAGAAAAATGAAGATAGAGAGGAAGAAACCAATATAGATGTTGATGAAAAGTCCAAAGAAGTAACTAAAGCAGCAGCATCTCCAGAACAGAAAGGCACAGGAGACCCCAAAGAAGAAGAAAGTCCAGTCTGAATCTGTGGCGCTGAAGGGTGAATGGACAGGTCATGGCCCAACTCTTCTGAAAATATTCGACTCGCCTGTAGTCTACCTGTGGTGCTCAGTGCAGACAGTGGACATTTATGTGAAAAACATACCAGGTGTTCATTCATGGAATTTTTGTTTCACTCCTTAACAACAGTCTGAATTTAAAATGCCATATTCTTTGGAGAAGGAGTGGTTGGCAAAAGATGTGGGAAAGAAGTAGGGTTGTTTTGTTTTGTTTTGATCTTAGCTTTTAACAATGTCATGAAAATTATATTATGTGCCTTAAGTTTTAGTGTTTAGAACTCCTTTAGAGAGCCTTAACTTTTTAAACCCATTCTGCTGAATTCTGTATTTTAAGTGTCAGATTAAAAGGCAAATAACTACTAACTTATTTGAGACAGTTCTAAAATTTAATCTTGCTTCATTGTTATTTGTAAAATACTGTCAAAACGTACTGAGACATTTGGAGTAGAGATATTGATTATATTGGTTGAAACTTTTCTTGTTCTTAATACTGGGGATTGAACTCAGGACCTTTGAACTTGAGCTACATCCCTACCCCTTTTAAATTTTGTTTCATTTTCAGACAGGATGTTGCTAAGTCACTAAGTAGCTCTGGCTAGGCTTGAACTTGTGGGAAGTTTTATAATAAAATGCTAAAATATTTTTCTAGCATCAGTAGTTGCTTGGCATATGTGCCCAATAGCTATATATTTAGGAAATTTAAAGCATAAAACTTGGACATCTTGGCTAATCCATCCACATAGTATTTGTCAACATCTCTTGGTTACCTTTTCTGGAATACTTACTGGAAACCAAGTATTTGAGCATTGTTTTCACTAATTTACTATTTTTGCTCCCCTATTCAAAGATATTTTGAGTAGATATAGATCATTGCCCATTTTGAATTATTTCTCTCACTATAAAAGTATTAAAATCTAAAAAATTATATATTTCATGGCTCCTTACTAAATACAAAACATCCAGTTAACTATGAACAGATACTTCAAGCATCAACTGAATTCAACTTATATTTTTTTCAAAGCTTAACGATACCATATTATGAGGCTATTAAAATCTTTGTGTTTGTGTGTGATTTTGGTTTTGTTTTTAGGGGAATTTTGTTGGTGCTGGGGATTAAACCCAGGGCCTCAGGCATGCTAAATAGACCTACCACCTTACTACACTGCCAACCCCCTAGAGTCTTTTTTTCTTTTTTCATGGAATTTTTCCTCTTCAATTTTGGTAGTTTTATCTGCCTTTGCTTCTAGCTATATGCAAGATGTTCAGTATAGATAAAATGTGTGTGTGTGTGTGTGTGTTTTTGTTTTGTTTTTACATTTTTTTTCTTCAGTGTTTGCACATTCAGGTGCACCAAGTTATGTGGCTGTAGGCAAACCAATAAAGATAAAATTTGGAGAGATATTGTAAAATATGCATACTTTCAGTAAATAATTCCTTTTTATTTTCTGAGATGGCTTAAAAATTTTTATTATACTTAGAATTATTGAACACTCTTATTCTGGACACAAACCTGAAGTTTTATGAGCATTTTCACCACTGAAATGTAGAAAAATCAGTTCAGTATAAGAACAGTAAAAAAAGGTGGACTAGAATGAAACCAAATATTTTTTTAACCTAATGTCTGAAAATTGAGGCAGAAAAATGCAGACATTCAGGGAATTATATTCAGTGCATTGTAATAAATAGGTGATAGATTTAAAATTTTGTGTAAGATGCTGACTTTCAAATAAAACATTCATTTTATTTTTAGAAAAATATTTCTTCCTCCAAAATGTTTATTTTCATTTTATTGTTTCAGCTAGGTGCTTGCTAATATTAAGTCATCCAGCCTGTGTGCCTTGAGATTTGTATGTATGGCTTTTTTTACATTGATTTTTCTCCATTTCTGTTCCTTGCTTTTTGAAACCTCTCTTGAACTAACAGGAGTTAGCCTTAACAGAATGAAAAACCCTTTGGGATGAGTGTTACAACAGATGCTGGAGGAATTGGAGGGCAGAAGGTTGCTGAAAGGCTTGGGCCCAATTTGGGCTCTGCCATCTTCCATGGACCCAAGTATAAACTCTTGTGTGTCTTCTATACAAATGAAGATTACCATTGGTGAGGAACATAATAACTAAAATGTGAAATACAATAATAAAGCTGAGGAGATAGCTCAGTGGCACAAGTGCCTTCCTGGCAAGTATGAGATCGTGAGTTTAATCCCCAGTACAAAAAAAAAAATCAAATCTTTCTCTCTCTCTCTCTCTCTCTCTCTCTCTCTATATATATATATATATATATATATATGTATGTATGTATATAATTTCTCTCTCAATATGTATATATTGAGAGAGAAAAAGAGATGTAAAATATCCCCCCATCCCAAGCTATATTCACATAGCAATCCCTGCTTAATATTTGTGTTGGCCTGGTATGGTGGTGCATACCTGTAATCCCAGCACTAGGAGGCTGAGACAGGAAAAATGTCCTAAATTCAAGGCCAGACTGGGATATATAAGTGAGTTCAAGGCCAGCCTGTACTACATAGCAACACCCTGTCGTCATCAAGCCCCCCACCCACCCACCCAAAAGAAAGGGTGGGTAGCAATTCACCACCACTCTCTAAGGAAGGCTTTTGTATTCAAAAGCAGGCTAGTTAACTGGCTGAAAGCTGGAACTAAAACTATTTGTTTTTAATTTAAAGAAAGACTAAACAAAACAGTACAAATAATACATACTTTCAAAGAAAAAATAGTAAGAAGTCACTAGTTGATTACATATTGTCCTCTTACAAATAGTTGTTCAAGATACAAAAGTGAAACATACAAAGTGGGGATTCAAACAGCGAGAGTGTAAACAGTTCTGTTCAACTCTCCAACAAAAACTTAGTAATATGGTTATCAATCCTATACACTTAAAACATACATGCAGTTATGCATATCTTAACATATAAACAAACCAAAGCAGGCTAAAATCACTCTGAACAAAAAATAATAGTATTGCTGGATTTCACATCATGACACAACAGAATCAGCACTGGTTACGGTAGCGTCTTTCTTCAAAGTAGTTATTCATTGCATCAAGTGTTATAGAATCAGTTTTCATAAACTGTTCATAGGTTCTATGCATGCTTGAGTCTCAACATGTATTTCTATCCATTCTTTCTGTATTAGAGGGAGAAACAAAATATTTTCCTATAAACACATGATGAACTAAAGTATTTTATTTTTTTAAGATGGTATTGCTATGTAGTTAATGTGGCCTTGAACTCACTATGTAGCCTAGGCTGGCCTTGAATTCATAGCAATCCTCCTGCCTCAGGTTCCCAAGTACTGGGATGGAACTGAACTTTTTTTTATCTGCTCAAATCTAGTTTTCACCCACAGAAGAGTCAGGTTTAAACATTTGTTTTGTTTTGGATCCAGGGGATGGAAAATAGATCCTTGGTGATGCTAAACATACATTTCTACCCCTGAATACTACTTCTAGCCCCACAGTTCTAAACAAAATCAGTTTTGGTAACAGCCACCACAGAAATTTGAAACAGGCCCAGGGATATAGCTCAGCGGCACTGTACCTGCCTGGCAAGTGTGAGGTCGTCAGATCAATTCCTGGTACAAAAACAAACTCACCACAGACCTGCTCTGTGCCTGACTTCTTGTTAATGACTGACTAATCATCTCTGGTGCAGATCCATGCTCAAAGCAATGGACCTCCTGATTCTTTCAGTTGTCCTCGACTCTTTCCTATTTTATTTTTTATTTATCAACAAGTTCTTCCTGGGCAGTTCAATCTGGCCTTGAACTCATTATGTAGTCCAGGTTAGCCCTAAACTCACATGATTCTCTTGCCTCATTTTTCCAAGGCTAGGATTATAGGCATGTACCATGATGCCCAGCATGTCTGTCTGTCTCTCTCTCTGTCTTTAAGACCTGGTTTCACTATCCTATTCAGGCTGACCTTGAAAACTCACTTCGTAGCCCAGGCTCCCTTGAACTTTGAGCCATCCTTATGCCTCAGCTTCCCCAGCCCTGGGATTACAGCCTGTGCCACTATGCCCAGCACCTGTCTGTACTTTTAACACTGGTTCCATCTGTAGTTTTATTTCAGTTCACGTGCTTTTTGAGCAAAGAGTACCTGCCTGTCCCTTCTCTCTGCCCCAAATTTAGTGTAGTTCAGACTGTTCAAGAGTACAAGCTGGGGGGCTCGGGGTTTAGCTCAGCGGCATAAGTGCCTGCCTTGAAAGCAAGGCAGTTGGATCCCCGGTACCGATAAAAAGGAAAAAGACAAAAAGTACAAGCTGACAGTGGGAAAATTCTTGAAGAAATTGATAGGTAGGGCAATCACAGAAGGTCATGATAACAAGCCATATCATTATGTCATACTCAAGTCTACTGAAAACTTAGATTATCTTCTAGCCAAGAGAAGTGAATTGTTTGTCCAAAGGTATTTTAAGAAGGATGATAGCCAGGCTTGATATCATGCCTATAATCCTAGCACTTGGGAGACTGAGGCTGGAGGATCACTTCAAGTTTGAAGCCAGTCTGGGTTTCAAAGTAAATTCAAGGCCAGCCTGAACTGCATAATGAGACCCTGTCTCAAAAAGATAATAAATAAAAAGGATGATAGTATACCATAGAAAATTCAAAATCATATTGAATGATCCTCTATTTAGATTTGTGGGCTGTCTGAACTTAGTAGTTTATGGCAGTTTTAAAGTTGTTTACCCTGTATTTTGAAAAGGGAAAAAACTTAAATCTGTATTTTGTATGAATCTATGTTTTATTGTATTGAATTTCAGATTGGATATTGGTTGCAGATTACTATGAAGAACCTGTGTCTGAGCTTTCCCTTCCCTAACAGTGATACATAGTATAATAAACCACAATCATTGGTGCAGCCCCTTCCCCAACCACCACACATCACCTTAGAAGATAAGGAGAGAATAACAAATTTCCACATTTGCAATATGGCTGGCTTTAGTAATCAAATCGGGCATTTGTCTACAAGACACAAAGAGATTAATGATAGATTTGCATAATGCAACACTTTGAGCATGTGACATAAATGACAACCCAAGCTTGCCTGGCTTGTTCCAGTGGGAAACACAAAGTTGCTTTAGAGTTTAGAAACATCCAGGCTGGTAGTGGTGGGGGAATGTTTCATGTACATCACTCCAGAAATGTGCCCTGGCATTAGGGTTTTAGATTCGCTCGCTCTTTGCTTCACTCAGTCTAGATTGCAGTGTCACACACATTGAAAAATGAGCAGTTGGAAACCATTGCATGTATGAGTGTACAGTGTGTTTGTAAGTAGTGAAAGGAGGCAAGCCTACCAGTTAAGTGGCAGGGTAAAGTGCTTGATTTCAAATTGAGGTTATGTGACCTCAGTCAAACAAGTTGCCAGCCTCCCTGTGTATCAGTTTTTTCTTATATAAAATGTTAATAATCAGCACCCACTTACAGCATTGTCCTGAAGATACATGGCAGATAAGTTAAACAAATGCTTGGTAAGTGAAAGTGCAGTATCTAGCTGTCAAAAAAAGTTGAAGTTAGTATTTGGGAACACATTGGGCTCATAATTTCCATAGCTGATTCTTACTTTACTTGGAATGGATGATTATTTTGTATTTTCTTGTGTTTATGTGTGTGCATGTTTTTCTGAGACAAGGTCTCACTATGTAGCCCAGGCTAGCCTCAAATGGTGATCTGGATGTGAGGGCAATCTTGTCGTGACATCTATCACCCCCATTAATCACCAGGGTTTGTCCCTGGTGATTTCCCTTATGCTTCCCTTATGCTCTATATATGTTCCTCCCAAAAGAGAACCATTTCCTCAGCCAAGGGTATATGAGAAGCTGCACACCCCTGCTAGAATTGCCAAACAAACTCTCAAACAGTGATCTCCTGCCTCAGCCTCTGGACTATTGGTATTAAATGCCTGTGTCACCACACTCAGCCATGAAGGATTAACTACACTACTAGCGAAGCAAAGTGATGGCTGTTTTTTTTTTCCCCCATACTCTTATTTTCTTACTACTGTAATAGTTACTCATACTAAAACATTTTTTCCTTGTGGTGCTAGAGGTCAAACTCAGGCCTTTGTACACACTAGGCTAGCATTACCATTGAGCTATATCCTAGCCCTGTTTTTTTTAAAGGAAAGTTCTTGATAAATTGCCCACTCTGGGTTTGAATTTAAAATCCTCCTGCCTCAGCCTCCCAAGTGGCTGGGAGCCCCTATAGGTTTGTACCACCACACATAGTCCTAAAAGAAAATTTTAATGGCATACATCCCAGTGTATTTGAACCATAAGACTTCTGGCAAAAGATGGTTGACTCCTAAGAAAATGGAGCCACTGATTATTATAAGCAAGTTATTTTTTGTGTTACACACAGTGAAAGATAAGTGTGACATGGAACAAAAGAGTCTAGTGCTCTGCCATGATGTTGGGGCTGGACCACAGCTGTGGAGTATGCAGCCTGAGGGCCACTAGTCCAGCTGCCAGGGCCTCCATGCTGCAGGCAGGTGTCTTAGGGACAGCATTCCTGTGGTTTACCTTCTAAGCATCACTCAACCGTGAGTAAATGTTTAACTCAGGAGGTCAGAGGTTCAGTGCTCACCTAGCTCCCAGCCTCATGTTTGTTCTGGACGATTATACTGACATCAGTGGTTAAAAAAAAAAAAGCTACACTGATGTCACCCATGGGGCTGTGGGTACAGCTCAGCGGTAGAGCACGCGTTTAGCATGTACTAGACCCTGACCTGGGTTCAATCCCTAGCAATAGAAAAGATGGAATTTGCTTATCTGTACAGCTTTTATGTTTAATCACCAACAGATGTTTATAGGATGCTTCGTATATACTAGCTTTAGTCTTTTAGACAAAACAATATACTTTAACAGACATCTTACATTCTATTGTTTTCATTTCTATATCTCACCACACACAAAATCACACAAGCGATGATCAGTAAATTATAAGAATGGTTTCAGAACACAAAACAACAGGCCTGGGGATCTAGCTTAGTAGTAGAGTGCTTGCCCGGGATATGCAAGGCACTGAGTTTAATCTTATCCCAGTACTACCAAAAAGGAAAAACCAAGAACAGACAAATAGAATATAAGCAGTGGGATCATCATTCGGTTGTCTAAACACTTTTTTGGAACATCTTCCATGTGCCTGACTCTTGCTATATAGAAAGGATATAGCAGTGAACAAAATACAACTTCTAGCACGTATCCCTGCTAGTCAAACAAGTTACGACTGTTGAAACTGCTGTGGGAGGGAGAACACTAACCCAATTGTGGGAGGGCATAAAAGGATCCAAAAGTACCACTTTAAGCAAATTTCCCTGAACCTCATAAACATGACAGACTTATTTTAGGGCTAAATGTGAGAGTACACGGTGTACTCTTGAGTGTACAATATAGCCTTTTTTAAAAAATCTGAGCTAGGGATGATGGTGTATTCCTATAATCCCAGCACTATGGGAATCAGATTTAAGAGGATTGGAAGTTAAAGCCCAGCCTTGGTAACGTAGTAAGTCCCTGCCTCAAAAAAATTTTTTTAAGGCTAGAGATGCAGCTTGGTGTGAAGGCTCTAGGTTCAGTCTCCAGTACTGAAAAAGTATATTTAAATCTGCCACTCTTGTGGCCCATACCTGTATCTCAGCTACTCAGAAGGCTCCAGTTCAAGGCCAGCCTAGGCAACACAGGGACCCTGTCTACTTCAACATACTCTAATGAAGTCAGTTAAGCCATCAACCAGAACAATAAATAAAGAACAGCTGATATTGGCATAGCTTATCAATTTACACAGGTTTTTGAAATATATTCTAACATCTAATCTGATCCATACCAAATCCTAGAGAAGTGGGTATAATTGAAGGTACTAACCCTGTAACAGCCTTCATCTGAGATGTCAAATAAGAATGCTAGAGCTGAATGTCATGTGGTTTGGAAATATACAAGAACAGAAGAGGCCAAATCCTGGGTGATCCTGAAGGGTGAAGAATGCACCAAAATGTGGTTCTGGTCCCCCAAAACTTCATAATCTAATTAACAATCCTTTTGCTTGGCTTTGAAATTCTCAGTGTGATTTTTTTCATTTGTGGATTTCCTTTCCTAATATGCTTTACTGATTCCAGAATTAAAATGTTGCATTTCCTGAGCTTATGCTGGCCAGTTCCCAAGAGGAAGTGGCCAAAAGCCATTAAGAGGGCCAGGAAGGAAACTGGACAGGGATTAAAAGTCACCTGGTGTGCTGACAATCTGTATGTGCATAATTATTGAGAGAAGCCTTGTGATTGCTATAGTCTTGGTGATACATCTTTTTTTCTTCCTCTTCATTTCTTTGTAATCTAATTCCTTAAACCTCCCATCCTACCCCCCAAGCCTGAATGTTTTTAGTCAGGCTCTATTTATGTTTTCTAGAATGGAAACTAAGGATTTTAGGTCACCATTTTTCTTTTAAATTCCAAATACTACTTTGTTTCTCAAATGCTAAGAATGAGTAAACAGACCTGCAGTAAGGGGCTTTTTTCTTTGTTTGTACCGGGCATCAAACTCACGGCCAAACATGCTTGCAAGGCAGATGCTTCTGGTGCTGAGCTAAATTCCCGGGCCTAGTAGGGGCTTTTCTAAGAGAGGAACCTTCAGGTTAGGGTTAGGCAGTACCTACCTGTGCACCAGCCCATCCTTATCTCCTTTGCTACCTCCCACAAACCTAACAGTTAACAAATCATGTATCTTCATCTCCTTTGCTGTTTTTCCTTCCTGTCCCTCCTTTTCTTTTTCTAGGTCTCTAAAAACCTCCCTGACTCTGTTCTCACTCCATTTCCAATCCAGCCTCAACACTGCTGCTCTAAAACCAAATCTCAGCACTGTTACTTTTAAAAATGTTTATACAATCTTTATAATTTTAAACAAGCAATAAAGATAATAAAATTAAAATCCAATCATGTTCCTCTACTTAAAATTCTGTAGTTTGAGGGTAAAGTCCAAACTCCTTAGCCTCACCCACTGGGCCCTTCCTGACCAGTTCCTGACTACCCCTTCAGACTTATCTCCTGCCAGTCCTCAGCCCCTGCTCTCCACCTCATCTGATTTCTTAGTTCTAAGAGCAAGCCTTTGTTCCAGGCTTCCTGACACCTGCTGCCCTGTTCCTAGGAACCCCTCCCTTCTTTCTCCTGGGCACCAGTTCTTAGTCATCCTCTCCTAACACTGCTGCACATTGTACTCACTAATTTGCTTTTCTAAATCTCTACCACATTGAGCTGCTTGAGATGAGAAGGAACAGCATGCAAAATGAGAGGTCACTTTTGATTTCAGGGACTGGAAAAGCTGCCAGGAAAGGTTGCATTTGAGTATGGTACAGAAAGGAAGAGCATCCTGGGAGAGCTGTGGAGCCCCTGGTAGAACTGATTGGCAAGCATGTGTTCATCACACTTATGTTCTAAACTAGCCTGGCCTTTGTTTTTAAGAAAGTTTCAGTCTTCAAGGCACTAACACAGGTGCCAAGGGCAGTGTGTTCTCCAATCCTGTGTCTGGGAAGCAGGAGAAAGATCCCTGTGGGCCTGTGGGCTGCTCAATAGGCACTATATATTTTTCTACGTTTTCACACACAATACAGAAGACTTCTATGACAAAATGTGTATGTTTTTCCCCCCGATATTGAGCATTCTTTGCTTCTGTGGAATTTTTGATAATTGATTTGTCAACAAAATAAAATAACTTGAAATGATAGCTAGTTTTTGTCTTTGTTTTCATGAGCCATTCAAACATAATTGTTACAAATTAGTGAATTAGCTGAACAAAAGTGGGATAAAACTTAAAACTGAATTTTTCAATAAATTATACTATGCAATATGAACACCAAAAATTGTTTCAAAAATCTTTTGATAACTTTCAATCCTAAAGCTTTGTTATATTAAAATTGAATAATAGATGCTCCTTAAATGTCTAGAACATTTCCAAAAGAGATAAAATGCTTTTAATGTGAGGACTTTGTGGAAAAAAAAAAAAGAGAGAGATAAAACGCTGAAACATTAAGTACTCAGTGTAAGTTTATAGCTTATCTCCTTTTGGTTTGTTAGTATAGAAGAACTAAGGATACTAAGGATAAATACTGTATGCCTTTTGTCACACTGAAAAATTATCTTAAGAAAATGCTTGCTTCCAGAGACATAAAATGGCTTTAGCCTACAGAACAGTTCCAGAGACCACCTGCAAAAATTGATGAATATGAGCAAAGATGAGTGGTGGAGAATAGCAGCTTTGACCAGTATCAATAATGGCCCAAGGTGACACCCAGTAGCAGTGCCAAGCCTTGACAGCTGGCAGGAAGCAGTGACATTTGATAGAAATCAGTGGCAATTGGTAGAGAACCCCAGAGAAACAGCAGTTTAGCACTGGCTGCTGAGGAGCTGATAGAGATTCTTAAAGACCAGAGCCACTAGTGGAGTTGCACTTTGCCAGTCAGATTTCTATCACAGTTGAGCAGAAGAACCCTCTACTCAGAAAAATAGTCCATGGAGGGCTCAATCTTATAATCCTCCTGTTTCAGGCTCTTTAAGAGCTAGGATCATAGGTGTGCACTATCACACTTCTTATAGCTCCTGTTAACCTCAAGATTGTCAGAAAAAAATTTAAATATCCATTTTATGAACAAAGGAAACAAATTATCAAGTTTTTCTTTAAAATTTTACCAGTTTAAAGCCAGGGGTGGTGGTACATGCCTGTAATCCTAGCACTTAAGAGGCTAATGCAGATGGAGCTTTAAATTTAAGGTTAGCTTGAACTAATGATGCCTTCCGGGACTAACCAAGGAGCATGAGGGGAGTGCTGCTTATGGAGAGCACCAAAGAGACAGAGTTATTTGGGACTGGTCCAAATTCAATCCTATTATGGTCCAGGGAGACATCTGGAAAAGTGAGGGGAATTCTGGACAGCATAGCTGTCAGTCAAAGCATACACCTTTATGGCTATAACTAGGAAAATGAAAGAATTGGACCATTTCATTTTCTTTGTTTTATTTGAGGTGGGCAAGGTCTTGCAGCTCAAGCTGGCCTTGAAGCTGGCTCATTATGTAGCCCATGCTGTCTCAAACACTTGATGATTGTTCTTCCGCCGCTTCTTGAGTTCTGGGATTATAGGCACATACCACCATGCCCCACTAGGCGATTTCTAAGCTCTCAGGGCTGTGTAGTAAATTCAAGGCCTGACTGAACTACAATAGTGTGACCCGCTTCTCAAAAAAAAAAAAAAAAAAAAAAAAGAGTTCTATGATTTAAGTTTGAAGTGCTCCTCCAGGTCTTGTGTTCAGAGATGAGCCTCTTGAAAAGTGATTAGATCAGGGAAGAACAGGGCTATCCTCATCAGTGGATTAACCCATTGATGAATTCTTAGCGGAATGTACTATTAGGAGTTGGGGCCTGTTTGCAGGAGGTGGTCACTGAGGGTGAGCTCGTAGAGTTTTATCTGTTGCTCTGGCTCTTCCCTTTCTCTGCTCACTGCTGCATGGATTGAGCAGCTTTCTTCTGCCATGCCACTTCTGTCTTGGAGCTACCTGAACCCTCTGAAACTGTGAGCCAAATCAAACTTCTCCTTTAAATTGTAGGTATCAGGTACTTTGTCCCAGCAACACATAGTTTCATCTAAAAAGGTGTGCATGGGCCAGGGATGTAGCTCAGCAGCACAGTGCCTGCCTGACAAGCATGAGGCCCTGAGTTCAATTCCCAGTACCAGAAATAAATAAATAAATAAATAAATAAAATATAAAGGTGTACATCTTATACATGTTATTCAAACAAATAGAATGTTTATAACTGTGTGCATACAGCCAATGCATGATAGAAAACATTTTCTTTTCCAAATCCACTCTATGATAGAAAACATTTTATGGCAACCCATCTGGGAGCCCCTTGTCTTTCAGGACTTTTTTTTTTTTTTTTTTTGCTGGTACCAGGGATCTAACTCACAACCTCACACTTGCCAGGCAGGCACTTAGGCCACCGAGCTAAATTCCCAGCCCTTCAGGAGTCATTCCTATTCCCCAGTAAATTTTCCTACTCCTCAAAAAGGAAAACATTTCAAACACAGGTAGCCTTTTCAGGTTACCACAATTATTTAGGTTTTTGCATTATAATTCTTGGCATTTTAGGTTAATTACACTTGCTGGGGATAGTTCAGAGGTAGAGTGCTTGCTTAGTATGCTCTAAAGTCCAGGATTTAATCCCCAGCCCAGAAAAAACAAAAACAAAATAATAAATTAATTACACATACATTTTTACTCTGAAGTTAATCGTTGCTTTAAAGAATTATTCCAGGGCTGGGGTCATGAATTCAATCCCCGGTACCAAAAAAAAAAAAAAAAAAAAAAAAGAATTATTCCAGGTAGTTACGTGGTTTGTAGCAGGAGAAAGGAGCTCTTAAGAGTTTAGTATCTGCCAAGAAGGAATCATTAGCTGGAGTCAGTGAGCCAGATGTTTGACACATCTCACAGCAGCTTTTCCAAATCCTAGCAATGCCTCTTTTCTCCCAGTAAGCCAAATGATGAACCATTTCGAAATTACCCTTCTCTGTGGTTTTTCCTCCTTTTTTTCTGGAATAACTGCATGTGGTAGATTAACTAATGGTCAACTTGTTTCACCCAGCTGAACTGAATCCACATGGTACTGGGTGTGGAAGCCCCACCTGAGAATTGTTGCCAACAGCATAAAAGGAGAACTGCAGGGGAAGATTCTTCTGGAAAAGCTTGTCGTGCTGGTTTTCCTGATATGAATTTGGCTGTTATCATTGGAAGAGCTTGGCTCTTCACTGTCACTGAGAATGGCTGTGGTTCTCCTCCAGGGAGCCCTGGTCCTTACCTTGAGCTTTGCTTCCTGGCTCCAGTGCAGATCCCTCAGCCTGCTAGCACAGAGCATTCATCCCACTAGCACAGACAGACTTTAGAGCTTCCACCACGGATCTTTGGGCTTCCGCGGTGCAGATCCTTGTCACAGACTTGCATGAGACATTGTTGTGGGCTCTAAGTCTCCAGCTGGACACATGGAGGACATTGCCATAGGCTCTCAGTTTTCAGCTGGGTATGCAGGGTATTGCCTTAGGATCCAGGCCTGTGGCTGAATTCTTTGGGCCTCTAGTGCGTAGGTAGATCTCTGGCACTCTTCCGCATTTGACTCTGGGTGAATATTTTAGAATAATCCAATAAATTATGTGTCCTGTGTTAAATCTATTCCCTTCCAAGCCTTGACTACAACACTATGACCTCTTCTATGAATTTCCATTTTATCCATTGGTAAACCCTTTTAGAAGCTCCTCAGGGGACTGCATAAGGAGAAATTCTGGGGGTACAGAATTCACAAAAGGAAGAGTGGACATTTGAATGTTCTTGGCTTTCCTAGTGCTTGCTGGAAATACTAGGTGGCAAACGCTGCAGCAGAGGAGGCAACCTCCATAACTTTTCTACAGAATCAGTATATAGGGTTGTATCGGCAGATGCCTATAGTCCCAGCTACTCAGGAGGTTGAGGCAGGAGGATCACTTGAGGGCAGGAATTTGAGGCCAGCCTGGCCAGCATAACAAGATAATTCAGCATCTACATCCAGTTTATTTTCTGTTGAATATGTTTTAGAAGTGCAGCCTGTCGAGACTTTAATTATATATGTGGTTTGTTTTGCAATATAGGGAATTGAACCCAGGGAGCTCTGAGTCACATTTCCAGCTCTTTCAATTTTATTTTAAGACAGACACTCACTAACTTACTCAGGCTGACCTTAAACTTGATTCTCCTGCCTCAGCTTCCCAAGTAACTGAAAATAGAGGCATGTTCCACAATACACAGCTAGTTATTTTCTTTCTTTAATCTTTCATTTTCAGCTACAAGAAATTTTCCATGCCTCTTCAAATCTACAGTTTTGGTTCTCCCCTGTAACTGTCATCATCTTTGGGGACTTTGCTTCTAATTCACAGCATGTTGAGTCACTTTTCCTGAGCTAAAAATCATAATGTGTCTGGATTTCAGGGAGTGTTTTGCTGTGGAAGGGCTGAACTGCTGAGAAAGGAAGACTGGCTGTCTCCTCCTCAGCAAAGGTTGGTGAGATGCTTGAAGGTGGGCAGAGTGCTGCATTCATTCTAGCTCGTGCTTTGTCCTCTTCTACCTCGCCTGGATGAGAAAGAGTCACTTTCTAGAAAGGCCTCCTCATATCGTGTCAGCTTTGTGGCTTGTGGAAGATGAGGAATCACTTCATGGCATTTCTCTGAAGCTACGGTGGTCAGCTCATGTGCTCTGTTGATGAGACAGGACGAGCAATCCTTTCTCTGCTTGCAGGGACAGTGGAGACCCCAGGAAGGGAGCAGTGTTTGCAGGCATGTGACAGGGTCAGAAGGGAGCAGGATGTAGCAGAGACAGCAGCCCCTCTGCACACTCGAGTCAGCAGTGTGTGTAAAGGGAACAACTACTCCCTCAGGGAATGTGTTATGAGATTTGTAAAGTCTTAATATCAAAACTAGAATCTGAGCCAAGCACACACCTGTCATCCCAGGAAAAGGAGGCTGAGGCATGAGATCACTGCAAGTTCAAAGCTAGTCTGTACTACGTAGTGAGTTCAAAGCCAGCTGAACTACAGAGTGATACCCTGTCTCCAAAAAACCTCAAAAACAAATCAGAAAAAAACCCAAGCTGGGTGTGATGGTGCACTCTTGTAATTCCAGTATTCAGGAGACTGAGGCAGAAGGATCACTGT